TATATAGAGAGAGAGAGAGAGAGAGAGAGAGAGAGAGAGAGAGAGAGAGAGAAGAAAGTGACCAGTATATTATATATTGTGGCTTCCCTTAATATTTTCACTATTATTATTATTATATAGCGAATTCTAATGATTACTTATGAAATTATTTATTCAATAGCTCGCTTACACTATAACGCTAATATATCAATACTCAATAACCAGCAACACATTTTTACTTTCATGTATTTCGAAACATATTTCTGAGATACATTTTAACATTTAATTAGATTTCCTCATTTTTCTTAAACTTGAGCGCATTATCACATGACATATGTATTTTTGAGTGTGTTATTTGTTATTTAACATTTTATTTGATTGTATAAAATATTTTGAATTATGCAAATTTAAACAATAATATGACATTTTGCTAATTATGAGTATTAATTACTCACAACCTCTTTTTGAGATTTTTATATCAATAATTATTTGATAATCGATTGTAGCTTTACTGTTAATTTATAGTTTATATTACATGTATTATTTTTAGTACTGAGATTTTTAGTATTGAACAGAATTATATGCAGAAATTGTGTAAATGTATATTGTATACATTCATTTGCATACATTTTAAAATGTCTTACTTTTTTGAAACCAAATACTATTTTCTAAATAAAACTAATATTTTAAAGCTATTTTTATAGAAGACTACATTACCACATTTGTTTCTTCGAATCATTATACAATGTCGCCATATTTTTATTAATAGCTTCTTAAGTAATAAATATTTCGTAATTTTTTTTTTTTTGGGCCCAGAATCGATTCAATAACATTTTAACGAATGTAATTGTCAAGTTTTAAACTTAAATATTGATTATGAACAAAGTTATCATATAAAATGTAATTGCCATAATATCACTTTTTTCTGTAGTAATAATTACAAAATACGTTTTTATTAAAATATTTTTATTAAAATATTTTTTATTAAACGTAAAGAAAATCTTTAAATAAAATTTCTGATAATTTTCAAATCAATCACACATACACGTATATAAGCATTGTATACTTCTTGTATAAACAATTTCTTTGTAATAATCTGTCTTATTAATATTATTTAATATTATCAAATTATTTTCTTATGATATTTGTATAATTATTGATAAATTTTAAGATAAACTGTATTTGTCTGCTTGTCTAAAATTGTGAACTGTTCATAATTACCCGCAATGCTACACAAAAGGCGCAATGTAGGTGTCTCTCCTCCATACTGATTGATCATCCCCTTGTTCGCCGCTTGCGGTACGGGAATCGTAAGGGTTATTGGTTTATGGAACTTCCGTCGTCTGGGTTCAATTGTAATCACCGGCGAAACGGCAACGCAATTACCTAGCAATTTGGCCGTGAGTTCAGCCGGAATGACATGCGCCTATATAAATACAGATGGTTATTTCATTACAGTTTTCCTACTTACAATCATATGATTCGAATTTATAAATTTAGTTACCTGCAAGCCGACTTTAATTTTTTTTGTTAATGCTCCCGGTGGAAAAACAGCCTGTACATGATTCGCAACGCTGGATAACAAAATGCAACCCTCAGCGCCGATAACATGAACTTCTTGTTTGATTCGAGTTATGATAGCGAAATATTGTGGAAAGTCTGTAGTAATTATACGAGTGATTCTTCCCGAGTGTGAAACGCTCATTTGAGGATCTTAAAAAAGTATATAATAGCTTTGTTATTATTATATTAATGTTATTGTACCAAAATTAAGCTTTACAGATATATGTTAAGATTGTGTATTAATTAATTTAAACATTTAAATTAATTTTAATTTTTTATGTTTTTATACGTTAATAATAATTTGTTTAATAAGTTATACGTTACTATGGAAAGATTTAAAAAAACAAATAATAAAAATTTTGAAATACGTCCGTAATAAATATTTAAGATAGAAGAAATAAAACTTGTCTTTAACATATTAGTTTTGTGAAATTATTATATACCGTAAGGTGTATTGAGAAGAGTATCATCATTATCCACAGAATTATCATGTTCCTTCCATGTTTCTCCATTCTCACTTCGCAGAACAATGATTTCCCGTTCTTTTCCGCGAACAGATGCAAAGTGCGGTATGTCAATTAAAACGGGTCTGAAATCAGTTTATTTCCATATAAACTCAAATATATAAAAAAAATCTACATTATATGTAGCATATTTTACATATTATATCAATTATGTTGAATAATTAACTGTGTGTTACCCTAAAAATCTCGCGCCTACTGGACCCATCTCGATAATTCTAGTAGCAAGAGCCTCCCCTTCCATCAAAGGGGGTGGATTCGCCACTTTACTTGCTTTTACCAGTCTGCATGTTACGCGAATCGGCATCGTTGCTCTTCGAGGCGGTATAATAATGCGCACACCGCTATGTCTGCATCCCTTCATAGCACCGCCACGCGCATCCACCAGGAAACTAATTAAAAATCTGTAAAGCCAGATCTTTGTAATTCTTTACATTTGATATGTTTTTTCCCTACGTCAATCTACTTATACTTACGATCTAAAATGCAGCTTCCTACAAAAAAGAAAATGTATATCATTAAATTAAGTTTAAACAATTTTCTAAATAAAAATTAAAATCAAAATGGAAATTTTCTTAATTATTTTAATTATAAACAAACAATTATTCTATATAATTATGTAATATATTAAAATTATATAACTGTGTACATATTATTTTATAGAAAAAAAAAATTAATCGAAACTTACCCCAGATTCAGTCCGTCGTTATCAAAATTTTCTGCTAAACAATAATTATTGCTTTGTGCAAATTCCTGCTTCTCTTCTTTGGTAACTAAAATGAGAATTATAATCTCAGGCATACGCTCTTCAAAC